TTTTCTTTGTGCCACGTAAAGGAAACGAAAGGGGGGAAAAAAAAAACCCCCAAATATTAAAATGTGTGTTGTAAAGTTTTCTTTGACTGAGGTCAAATGCAAATTTATAGAATCTGGATTTAAAAAAAAAATCCCAGATTTTAAATCCAGATTTTGAAAAAAAATCTCACGTGCAGAGATTATTGCACCTGCAAATTTTAAAAAGAACTTCCTGCTAGGAAAAATAATATATATAAATATAACTATGGATTATGTATAGTTATATATTTTATATGGATATATAAAATATAAATGTATTATGTATGGTTATATATTTCATATGCATATATAAAATATAAAAATCTAATATGTATATATAAAATATAAAATAATTTTTATATGGATATATAAAATATAAATGTATTATGTATGGTTATATATTTCATATGCATATATAAAATATAAAAAAATTAATATATATAAAATATAAAATAAATTTTATATGGATATATAAAATATAGATGTATTATGTATAGTTATATATTTCATGTGCATATATAAAATATAAAAAATTTAATATGTATATATAAAATATAAAATAAATTTTATATGCATATAGAAAATATATAACTAGGTATTATGTATAGTTATATATTTTATATGCATATATAAAATAGTACATTTGAGCCTTCTAATCTGACTTCCTCCTTAGATATGAGGAAGAAACTCTTCCCTGGGAGGGTGGGGAAGCCCTGGCGCAGTTTTCTTGGGGGACTGGTTTGGAAATGACCAATTTTTGTGATTTTGAAGGGTTAGAAAAACCAACTTCCTTCTTCTGGCAGGAGAAGTTGAGTTGTCACCAAGGTTCACAATCCCAGGGGCGAGGAGGAGGAAGAGGCTTGAGAATATATTTGGGAATAATTTGCCAGGAATTAGATGTAAACATCTAATCTGGTGGAAAGAAGATTTAAAGAAATGAGATGTAAAGATCGAATTCTAAGTGGGTTTTTTTGGTTGGTTGGTTTTTGTTGGGTTTTTTTGGGGGGTTGCTTTTTTGTTGTTGTTTTGTTTTGTTTTGGGATTTTTTTGTGTTTGGGGTTTTTTTTGTTTGGGGGTTTTGGGGGTTTTTTTGTATGTGGGTTTTTTTGTGTGTGGGGGGTTTTTTGTTTGTTTTTTTGTTTTGTTTTGGGTTTTTTTGTGTTTGGGGTTTTTTATTATTTGGGGTTTTTTTTGGTTTTTTTGTGGGGGGAGTTTTTTTTGTTTGGGTTTTTTTTGGGTTTTTTGTATGTGGGTTTTTTTGTGGGGGGGGGTTGTTTTTTTTTAGTTTGTTTTTGTTTTGTTTTGGGTTTTTTTGTGGGTTTTTTTATTATTTGGGGTTTTTTTGGTTTTTTTGTATGTGGGTTTTTTTGTGGGGAGTTTTTTTTCTTGTTTGTTTGGGGTTTTTTTGGGGTTTTGTATGTGGGGTTTTTTGTGTGTGGTTTTTTTGGGGGTTTTTTTGTGGTTTTTTTTTTGTTTGTTTGTTTTGGGTTTTTTTGTGTTTGGTTTTTTTATTATTTGGGGTTTTTTTGTTTTTTTTTTATGTGTGGGTTTTTTTGTGTGTGGGTTTTTTTGGGGGTTTTTTGGTTTCTTTTGTTTTGTTTTGGGTTTTTTTTATTATTTGTTGTGTTTTTTGGTTTTTTTGTATGTGGGTTTTTTTGTGTGTGTGGGGTTTTTTTGTTTGGTTGGTTTTTTTGTTTGTTTGGGGTTTTTTTGGTTTGTATGTGGTTTTTTTTGTGTGGGGGGGTTTTTTTGTTTGTTTGGGGTTTTTTTGGTTTGTTTGTATGTGGGGTTTTTTGTGTGTGGTTTTATGGGGTTTTTTTGCTTTTTTTGTTTTGGTTTGGGGTTTTTTTGTGTTTGGTTTTTTTATTATTTGGTTTTTTTTTTGTTTTTTTTTTGTATGTAGTTTATTTGTGTGTGGGTTTTTTTGGGTTTTTTGGGTTTTTTGTTTGTTTTTTGTTTGGTTGGTTGGTTTTGTTTGGTTTTGGGTTTTTTTCTTTTGTTTTTAGGGTTTTTTTGAGGGTTGTTTTTTTTTTTTTTNGCATATATAAAATAGTACATTTGAGCCTTCTAATCTGACTTCCTCCTTAGATATGAGGAAGAAACTCTTCCCTGGGAGGGTGGGGAAGCCCTGGCACAGTTTTCTTGGGGGATTGGTTTGGAAATGACCAATTTTTGTGATTTTGAAGGGTTAGAAAAACCAACTTCCTTCTTTTTGGTTTGTTTGTATGTGGGTTTTTTTGTGGTTTTTTTTTGGTTTTTTGTTTGTTTGTTTGTTTGTTTTTGTTTGTTTTGTTTTGGGATTTTTTTGTGTTTGGTTTTTTTTGTGTTTGGGGGTTTTTTTGTTTGTTTGGGTTTTTTTTGGTTTGTTTGTGGTTTTTTTGTGTGTGTTTTTTTAATTATTATTTTTTGTTTGTTTTTGTTTGTTTTCTTTTGTTTCGGGGTTTTTTGTGTTTGGGTTTTTTTGTGTTTGGGGGTTTTTTGGGGTTTTTTTTGTATGTGGGTTTTTTTGTGTGTGGGTTTTTTTGTTTGTTTGAGGTTTTTTGGTTTATATGTGGTTTTTTTTGTGTATGGGGTTTTTTTGTTTCTTTGGGGTTTTTTTGGATTGTTTGTATGTGGGGTTTTTTGTGTGTGGTTTTTTGGGGTGTTTTTTGCTTTTTTTGTTTTGTTTCATTTGGGTTTTTTTTGTGTTTGGTTTTTTTAATTATTTGGGGGGGGTTTGTATGTAGTTTTTTTGTGTGTGGGTTTTTTGGGGTTTTTTTGTTTGTTTTTTTTTTTTTTTGTTTGGTTTTTTTGTTTGGTTTTGGGTTTTCTTTTGTTTTTAGGGTTTTTTTGAGGGTTGTTTCTTTCTTTTTTTTTTTTTTAATTTTGCACTTTGCAACTTGGAAAGCTCTGGCTGGATTTTTCATATATTTTACATATAAAATACATTTCACATCCTTTAATTACCCCTTAGGTCCAACCTGCATGAAGAAAAGACATTTTTAGGGGAAAACCCCTTGCAGGAACTCAAATCCAGGAAGGATGAGGCAGGAACTTCCCTCACCCTCAGGAAACACTCAGTGCCTTCTCTGTCTCACCAGGAAAAGCCGCTCAGGCTTCTATTTTGACATTCTTTCCCCTTTTAGACAAAACATGATGTCTCCAATCCCAAAGACAACCAGCATGTTTTGACTGTGCCATTGATTGCCTGAAGGATTTGTTGGATCAATCCCGCTGGAATAATTTGGGGGACCTTGGGAAATCACTTAATGGAATCGGGGCCGCGGCTGCGTAATCCTGACTTTTTTTTTTTTTTTTTGCTGGAGTAATTGAAGATGCAGCTTAATAAACTTTTTTTTTTTATAAAGATTCCCAGTTGGTTGCAGGGTTTTCAAGGGGAGGGTTGGAGCTGAGCACAGAACTAATACATCTTGTAATTGTCTTTTTTTTTTTTGCTTCCCCACCTCACTTAAATCCGTTCCCCGGGGAGGAACGTAATGTACTCTAATGCTGGTTCCTTTTACAAAGTGACCCCACTCATTAGGATTTCTTCTCCACAGCTCCCCTGACAACACAGAAATGCACTGAGAATACTTAAGCTTCCTCTCCATCAGTCTTTTTTTTTTTTTTTAAAAAAATCTATTTAAAACCTGGAATTTCATACCTCCATTACTACAGACTTCCCTCCGCGCTCGGTGTCACCGCCGCACACGAGCAACAGATAAATTTGATTCGCTGAGCAATTTTATTTCTGTGTGTTTTCATGAAAATCAGGTGTTGTGTGGGCTTGGCTCCTGCACCACGGTGAAGATTTCAAATTGTATTTAGGATTTGTGACGTGAATCTTGAGGATTTTCTGGGCCTGGAGCTGCAGGTCCCGTAAATGTTTTCATCCCATCCTCTCAGATCTCTGGGAAAGGTTGATTGTGGTGGTTGGATGTTTTTGCAGCCTGGTAAAGAGGTGCAGTAGTTGGGTTTCTGGGTGTGTTTAGAGGTGAAAAAGCACTATCCCAGTGCAGAAAAGCTTTTAGCTGGGAACTGGTGGGAGAAAGATTTTCCTGGGAAAAAATGGTTCCTTAAGACCAGGAAAAGCCCAACCAACCAACAGAGCTCTGGGTGTGTTCTTGTTACTTAAAAATATGTTTTCATAGGGCTCTTGATGATGATGAATTAGTTGTATTTTATATGATTTAATAAATAGTGACATTAAGACTCGGAACTTTTGGGTTTGGACAGTTAAATCTGAGACAAACTTCTGGAATTTCTGGTGGATGTTTGTATTCAAGTGCTTTAAAAAAAAGATAATAATTTACTCCGCGACCGGAATAAATTTAAAATCCTTTTCGAACCTGCACTTGGAAAACACACCTTTATTTTGCCTCCACCTTGTGCAGATTGAAACAAGAGCAGATGTTCGTTCGGGATGAGTTTGGGAAGCTCCTGGAGCGAGAGAGGATCTCCTCAAACGAGCACCTGACCCGAGCCATCCTTCGGGAGCGAGCGGCCACCGAGGAGGAGCGGCAGAAGGCCCAGCGCTTTGTAAGTGCCCAAACTCCTCCAGAACCCTCAGATTTCTCAAGGAATTATGTCTTCAGGTTTATTGGTAGAGGAGGAAAGAGGTGGAAGGGGTAGGAGGCGAAACATCCCCTCGTTACTTCTTTTTTCTTTATTGCCTCGCTTTATTCGAGTCAAATATCTCCGTTTTAAGAGCTCTCGCCGACGGTTTCAAACCAGATCAGAGGGAAATGGTGCATCAAAGGCTCATATTTCATTGGAGCTGATGGATAAAAAACGTCCTGAGGAGGAAGTTGTAACATATGGTTGGCTGTTTTCCTGGGAAAACTGACATTATACGTTTCAAATGTCTGACAGATTTATGACTCCTCAGACGCAGCAGTGACTCGCTGCGTGGAGTCTCTGTTGGCTCTTGGAACAATAATCATTATTCTCTGAGGAACAGGCCTTAAAAATCTATAGATGCTCAAGCATAAATAGGAAACCAATTGGTATTTCCAGGGAAAAATTGAAAATATTCCCTGAGCATCCCTATGAAAATAAAAAGGATTGCTGATGTCAGCAACTGTGTTAATGTTTGGCCCTCTGAATCCGGAATAAAATCCAAGTGTCTTCAGGTTTATTGGTTGGTAATTTAGTGATCAATCATCTGTGGGGTGTAAGTACAAATCTGTTCATGTTTTCCAAGTAAGAACCAAATCTGTTGTTGTTTTTCCAAATCCCAGTGGAAAACCCAACCAGTTTCCCCTCACTGTTGACATCTTTTCCAGCCCTTTCTCGATGCTCTTTCACCTCATTTTTTGAGGAAGAATAATTTCAGTGCTGTAAACAAATATTTGGCCATTTTAAAATAAGGGAACAAAGGAAAATTGAGAGGAATTATAACCAAGGTACAGCCTTAGTTTAATGCCTTAAACCTTTATATTCTTAATATTATGGGGGAGAGACAAGGAGTTTGTGGCCTCGAGCTACTGAGGAGCTGAAGATTTATAATTATTTGCATAATTACTGAGGGGTTTGTAGCTTTTTTTGGTTATTAATGCTGCAGATTTGGCATTTCCACTGTGCTTGTTCATTCTTTGAAGAAGGTAACAAAACAGCAAGAAGGTTTTGTCTGTTTTTTTTTTTTTCTTTACAATGGATCTAATTATGAAAATACTGAATAATTCTCATTTGGTTGCAAATCCTTCTGTAAGTCGCCTCCTTTATTTTCCTGTACCTGGTCAGTTTTTATTCCTTTGCCTTCATTTCTTATGCTCCCTGTGTATTTGTTTCGTGTATCCAAGCTGAGTTTAATAATGTGTAACATGAGAATGTGTCTCTTTGTGCCCTTTGTCAGGTACAGGGAGTAATTCTGTGTTCTAGTCAAGTGCTGCAGCAGGTTTGTGTTTTATGTGGCCCACATTTGATTTGTCAGACTCTTTCTGGAAGGAAAAAAAAAAAAAAAAGAGTGTTCCTGAAATGTCAGTAGCAAAATAAATTCCTTTGCTGCTGCTGAATTGTTTAAATAGTGCAAAGGAAAAGAAATGATGGTTAGAAAGGAAGAATTTCAGTTTTCCTTTACCAAGGCTGCTAATTCAGCTTTAATAAGTAGACATAAAATTGTTAGGTTGGAGTCATATTTCCCATTCTTAAACAATTTGAACTCCAGTTGCTGCTTATAATTGTAGAAAGAAGTCATTTAAGAGCGTTGATGTGCCAAAAGTCAGAATTAGCTCTTCATACAAACAATAAAAATGGATTAAATGGCCTGTTTGTACCTGAATTACTTGGGTGCTGTGTCAGCTGGCACAGCGGATGCCCTCAGGACGTGTGGGCTGCTGGGCTGCCAGCTCCCTCAAAAGCATATTTTGGGGAGATCTGAAGGTTTGCAAACCAATAATTCTGATGTTTGTACCAACCAAGGTAGGAATTTTATGATTTCGAGCAGAATTTGCCGACCGGGAGCCAAAGCTTCCAAATCCCCTGTGGAGTCAGGGCAGGGATTTAATCAACTGGTGGTGCTCAATTCAGCAGAAATCAAGGTGGCTGCTTGTATTCCTGTGGTAAAGCCTTCCCATGTCGTTGTCTTGGGGTATTTTGGGCATGATTGAACGTTCCTTATCCCACAGCACTGGGGCCAAGTCCAAAAAAGCAATGCTGGTGAGACCGGAGAGGGACCTGGATAGGTTGGAGAGTTGGGCTGATTCCAACAGGATGAGATTCCCCAAGGCCAAGGGCCGGGTCCTGCCCTTTGGCCACCAGAAGCCCCTGCAGCTGCAGGCTGGGCCAGAGGGGCTGGAGAGCAGCCAGGCAGGAAGGGAGCTGGGAGTTGGGCTGGGCAGGGAGCTGAAGAGGAGCCCGAGTGTGGCCAGGGGGGCAAGAGGGCCAATGGCTGCTGGGCTGGCTGAGGAAGAGTGTGGCAGCAGGAGCAGGGCAGGGCTTGTGCCCCTGGGCTGGGCGCTGGGGAGGCCACCCCTGGAGTGCTGTGTCCAGCTCTGGGCCCTGAGCTCAGGAAGGGCTTGGAGGGGCTGGAGCAGGGGCAGAGAAGAGCAGCGAGGCTGGGGAAGGGACTGGAGCCCAAGTGCTGGGAGGAGAGGCTGAGGGAGCTGGGGGGGCTCAGCCTGGAGAGGAGGAGGCTCAGGGGAGACCTCCTCACTCTCTGCAACTCCCTGCCAGGAGGGGGGAGCCGGGGGGGGTCGGGCTCTGCTCCAGGGAACCAGCAGTAGGACAAGAGAGCTCGGTCTCAAGTTGTGCCAGGGGAGGTTTAGGTTGGATATTAGGAAGAAATTCTTTCCAGAGAGGGTGCTCAGCCATTGGAATGGGCTGCCCAGGGAGGGGGTGGATTTTCCATCTTTGGAGGTGTTTAAAGACAGACTGGATGTGGCATCAGTGCCATGGGCTGGGAACCACGGCGAGGTTGGATCAAAGGTTGGACTGGGTGATCTCGGAGGTCCCTTCCAATCCAGCTGATTCTCTGATTCTCTGATTCCTCCGGCTTCTCCCCGTTGTCTGGCAGTGGGATCCTGCTCCTTCCAGTGCAGTGGGATATTTGATCCTGAAATGAGCTGACCTGGGAGGAGTGAGGGTGGGGCAGGGTTGGATGGGATATTGGGAAGGAATTCCTGGCTGGGAGGCTCTGCCCAGGTTGCCCAGGGAAGCTGTGGCTGCCTCTGGATCCCTGGAAGTGTTCAAGGCCGGGTTGGATGAGGTTTGGAGCAACCTGGGCTAGTGGAAGCTGTCCCTGCCCAAGGTCTCTTCCAACCCCAACCCAATTCCAAGCTCATTATCCCTCTTCCCTTGGCTTTTCCCTCTTGTCTGCAGGGGGTGGCTTGGCTGGTTTTCCAGGCTCGGATGGACACCGGGGTGAGGTTCAAGGGCTGCTTTGCTGAGCAACAATTTCTTTACTTCTTTTTCTCTTCAGTTCAGCCCCTTTTTGGTCGTGTGAGACGTGAACTGAGGCAAATCCATGAGAAATCCATCCCAGAGCCTTTTCCAAATGCCCACAAGCTGCTTTAGAACTTGGCTACAAAACCAGCTCAGTTGCAGACTGAGCCTGGGGGGCAAGTTGGGGAGGGAAAATGAGAACTTCTTGAACTGGTCTTGCCACAAAGAGGGTGGGTTTGCACCTTTAGATTTACTGACTTTGGAGATGTGACATTTGCAAAGTATTTCTGAGTGGTTTCACTCAAGGCCAAAGTGCCCCACGTGCTTCAAGAACTGCCTGTACCACTGCAACTGCTCAAAAATCCTGCTTTTTCCCCCCCTGCCTTAGCATGGAATGATATTTTTTCTGCCCATCCCTCTTGAAAGAGGATTTTAGACTAAATCAAGCCTTTTCTTTCAGTGCAGCCATAAAGAATTTTGGTTCTGGTCCTTATGACCACTCCAAAAGTTACTTGTGTTATTTTATTCACACAGACAGGAGTCCTGCCCTTTAACATATTTAGCAGTGGAGAGTTTTGCTAAAAAACACCCACCACCTCAAAACAAACAACTCCAATAACAAATAATTTGTACCGATAAAAAATTGGTACCAAATGTAAAACTTGTGACTGATTGAGTTGGGTCTGGTGGATTGGTTTTAAATGTGGTGGCTTTGCCCTAAAGAGTTAATTGATGTCCCATCATTGGAGTCATTTTACGAGAGTCAGGGGGAGAATATGGAGTAAAAAAATCAATAGTTGTATTTCCAGCTCTCTGTAACGACCTGGACTTTGCTGTGAACATATTTGCTTCGCTCTCTGGGCTGAAATGAGTTGTCATCAGGCCCCTGCATGTCAGAAAATGGTTTTATTGAGCTGCCAATGACATTAAAGTCTCATTTCCCTTTGAAGAGGCCCAGAAATATTGTCCTGGAACCAGAACATTCCAATTGGGTTACTGCCCCCATTAGAAACCCGTGTCCATACTAATGCAATTAGATTTATTTCCAGCACCTTTTAGGGAGGGAAATCTGGTGCTGCTCAGGTATCTTTTGGTTCTGCCAATTATTTTTCCACACCGGGATTTCTATTAAAATTGATTTAGTGGAAATATCCTTATATTAAAACACACTTCTTTTGCACTTTAGGTCACTGTGGAAATCTGATTATTGGCTGTTTTTTTCCCAGGAAAAATCCTGTTGGAGGTGTAAAACCCACCTATTTTCCATAACCAGATTATACCCTGACCTTTCCTGCTCCTTCCCAACCGTATTTTAGGGATGACTTCCCTGGAAAACACCAGGGGGAAGAATCACTGAGTGAGTTAAGGCTTTGATTCTGAGGAGAGGAGTCTGTTTACAAACCTGCAGTATTTATTACATACCTCATTTAGCTCATTCATCATTTTAAGAGAAAAAATGAATCTTTCAAGGTGATTCTGAAATAATTTGAAGTAAACTACATAGCCTGAGGCAAGACATGATTGCTTCCTGCAGGGAGGGCCTGTTGGGGAAGTCCAGAGTGAGCAGAGCCCGGAATTCACAATTTAGGGGAGGAAAAATCCTGTTGGAAGGTGAGATTTCAGGTTTGGGAACCACATGATATAGAATTAAATCACTG